CCCTGACAGGGGTTGGAGAGAGGGGGGGGATGTGTGTCCTGCCATGGCTGCAGGGAGAGGATAGAGGGAATGGCCTTGAGCTGAGACAGGGCAGAGTCAGAGGAGATATTAGGAGAAATGTTTTTCCTGTTAGGGTGTTCAGCCACTGAAATATTGCCCATGGAGGTGGTGGAGTCACCATCCCTGGAGGTGTTTAAGAGGCATCTGGATTTGGCACTGGAGGATCTGGTTTAGGGGTTGCAGCAGTGACAGATTAATGGTGGGGTCTTGATGATCTTAGAGGTCTCCTCCAACTTTGATGATTCTTTGTCCAAGGCAACAAGTCTGATGTTGGAGGTGGAGAAAGAAGAATCTCTGTAATCTGTGTCAGCAGTGAATCATCTCAATTCCCTCATCTTTTGGGCATCATGTCTCCCTTGGTTAGCCAGACATTTAGATTTTGCAGTTGTAACTCCATGTTCCTCCAGCTATGGACAGATATGGATAAAAGACTGTTGGTTCCCCTACCCTAGTCATGGAAAAATACAGCAATATGTTTAACCAAAGGTGGCAAAGATTTTCGCAGACAACTATACCTCTATGTAACAAGTTAATATTGCCTTTAAAACCCCCAACACTGCACTAATGGCAAGAACTGTGCTGCCAAAACTCTAGACAGATCAGATCATGTATTTACATTTTTTATCCGTTTCATCCTAGCTGTGTCTTTTGTAGGCAACAGTAGGGACAGGCTTCACATTCTTTTGGGTTTGCAAGATTCATCTGTGGCAGTGGGGATTTCCTCCCCATAAATCAGAGGGTAATTCAAAGTCAAGCACTGTCCAAGACATGGTCATTATTTCCTGTAGACTTAAATTGTGGTGCTGTGATTTCAGGCTGCTGAGGCTGACAACCCTGTTGACTTAGGAGCCATGTGATTATTGAGAGTCACCTCCAAAAAAGTCAAGATTTCTTTCTTTATTCACTTTACAAATAAGCATGTTCAATGTTTTGAAATGTTCCAGCAAAGAGAGAATTATGCAGTGCCTTAGCAAACTACAAACCAGTAGGTGCATCAAACACTATTCTTGTGCTCAGCTTGTATCTTTGAGGTTTTTTTGGTGTCATCTCTTTAATACATTGTACTGTCTCATTAGACTTTAAAACATATGAATGGAATTATTTAGAGAGTATTCAAGGAGTTTATATAAGAATGTCCTTGAGTTCAGTTGGACTAAAGAGCCTGTGTTTATGCCATTCAGGTCATCTTGTTCCAAGTGTGGTACAAATACTTTATTGAGGAGATGGAGCCTCAGCAACACCTCTCGCCCCTGCCCCCATCTGAAATATTAATCGTGCTCTCTCTTTGATGAAGTTGAAGAATCAGGTGCTCTCCTTCCTTGCTTGTGGTACTGAATGCAGAATAACCTATTTGACATGCTGAGACATTCTGAAATTCTTCCTGGAATTATAAGAGGGAAGAATAGAATCCCAGAATGGTTTGGATTTGAAGGGACCTTCAAGATCATCTCATTCCACCCCCTGCCATGAGCAGGGACACCTTCCACTAGACCAGGTTGCTCCAAACCCCATCCAACCTGTCCTTGAACACTCCCAGGGATACCTAACTCTCCCACAAAGGATAAGCTCCTCCAATCAATCCTTTTAACTATTTTTCCTGTGTTATGGTATTTTCTAACTTCAAGCCGACTTGTCAGTTTGGAGTTATCCTCTTAACCCTAAATGCTAATTTTTTTTCGATTATCCCTAAACCAAAAACTAAAAGTGAAGTCACAGTTGCTCAGTTGGATAGTTGGAAAGCATTTTGTTGTCAAGTGCTGTGAGTTTATGCAATGAGTGAACAGTCTTTGAGGATTGGAGTCATCTCAATAGTAACTGCCCTCTTGCTGCTTTGAGGGCCAGATAATAAAAATAGCATCAGTTAGCAAGATCCTGAAATCAGAATTGTCAGAGGTACCAGAAGGTACCTGCTATCATTTAGGCACAGTGAGGACATGCTGGGACTCACAGGTGGCTTCTTAGCAAGTCAGTGTCCCATAGCTTCCTCTCAGCTGCCATTGTTGCTACCTCATCCAACTCGGAGAAAGATGCTCTTATTCCAAGCTGATGGAACCTGAATCCCCCTCATCCAGAAAAATAGCTTCCCTTTTATGGGGCAAACTTCCCTTTACAGCCTTTTGCAACTGTTTTTTTGGTGATGAGGTTTGGGTTTGGTTGGTTTTGACCTAGGGGGAATGCTGCTTCAACAAGAATAGTGCTGGAATTCTTGTTTCATCTTCCAATAGCATCACCATGTCCAAGCCTTGTTTGGCATCAAGAAGAAAAGCTCCTGAGACTGCTTGGAACTTGGAAAATAGCACTTTTAATAGTTTCAAGAAAACACTGTTATTCATATAGAGCCATAAAGGGTCTGTACAGCTAAAGTATTCATCAGGGGCTAAAAACCTATCCACATTCTGACTGTGCTTCCTACATGTTCCAGTCAGATCAAGCACTGCTCCTGTGGTTTCAGCATCGATGCTGGTGAAAGCTATGTGGAGTCAAATAGATTTCAAGCATGAATTTAATCTCCAGCTGCTTGTGCCGCTGCTTCTCTTCTGCTGGCAGGAGTTTATATATACCCTGTTCATCTACTCTGCCTTGAGAAAGTGAATTGTGTAACTGCAGTGGTCACTGCTGGGATGGAAGCACTTCTCAGAGGAAGCGTTTTGCTGGATCTCAGGAAAATTGCATTTTATTTATCAGATTTATTGTAGACTTGATGGTAAAATCCAATAATATTAAAAAACCTGAAGCAAGCAGAACCCCCTGAAGGCTCTATTGCTTCCTTATGTGCTGCTCGAAGAGTGTTATTAAAACTTCACTCTGTAGTGAATTATAACTTTTGTAGAGAAAAAAATAGAAAAATGTTTACAAAAGCTCCAAAGAGCTTCTATGATTCTGTGAATATTTGGCTGTTTACAGGTAAATTCCTTGTTTCTTTGGGCCAAAAGAGCAAGTGAGTTTGGCAATACTCCAGACTAGCGTGTTTTTTCCCTGCGCACCAGTTTTTTTTACTTGGAATATTTAATAGAATCATAGAACCTTAGGGGTTGGAATGGACCTCAGAGACCATCCAGCCTCAACCCCCTGCCCTGGGCAGGGACACCTCCCACCAGAACAGGTTGCTCAAGGCTTTAGCCAACCTGGCTGTGAACACTGCCAGGGCTGGGGCAGCCACAGCCTCCCTGGGCAACCTGGGACAGTGTCTCACCACCCTCACAGCAAAAACTTCTGGCTAAGATCTCAATTTCCCTCTTGGAATTTCTCCCCATTGCTCCTTGTCCTGTCCCTGCAGTTCCTAACCAAGAGTCCCTCTGCAGCTTCCTTCTAGGCCCCCTCCTTGCAATGAACAATACAAAATTTTACCACCTTAACGAGAATAACTTTTTCCACTGTAACCTAATGAGTTTATATTTGCATCTAAGTCCTGAAACTTTCCTGTGAATGGTAGCTACTAGTGTTTCATCAACTGTGTGGTGATAAAGCTTTTACTAGTTTTGTCCCAAGTGCCAGTCCAAGACAGCATACAGGAAGTATCTTGTGTTCCTCCTGTGTTCAGTTGAAATATGGCTGAGAGGAACAGAGTTATTTCCAGAGAACAGAAAATGTCTCTCTATGTGCATCAAAGCATTCCTAGGGGTCTTGGTGCTAGAAACAAACATATATCTGTTGTGAAATACCTTTGTGCTAGGCATGTAAACTTCCATGGTTGTCTTAACTTGCCAGATTTAGTAAGACATCACAGATGTTTTCTGCTTCATGCTAATATTCTTTACGTTGTAACTTTCTTTCCTTAGCAGTTTGAAGGCTTGCAAAAGGCAGCCTTCCTGAGTGGTACACCTGTTTCCAGTAAAGCAAGGCTAAGATTTAACTTCTAATACAACTTCTTTATCATACCCTGTATTTTGTGCATATATTTCTTTATGTACAATTGATGTTATATGACTAGATGTTAATTGATATTAGATGATCCAAAGCAGGCAATGAAGGTGGTAAAGGGTGTTGGGGGAAGCCATGTGAGGAGTGGTCACTTGGTCTGTTCAGCCTGGAGAAGAGGAGACTGAGGGGAGATGTCATCACTGTATGCAACTTCCTCACAGTGTAGGAGCAGCACTGACCTCTGGCAGCCAGTGACAGGACCCAAGGGAATGGCTTGAAGTCGCATCAGGGAAGGTTTAGGTTGGGTATTAGGAAAATTTCTTCCCCCAGAGGTGTTTGGGCACTGAACAGCTCCCCAGGGCAGTGATCACAGCCCCAAGCCTGACAGAGCTCCAGGAGTGTTTGGCCAATGATTTCAGGCACAGGGTGGGTTGTTGGGGTGCCCAGTGCAGGACTGGGGTTGGACTTGATGATCCTTTTGGGTCCCTTCCAGCTCTCTATATTCTGTGATTCTGTGATTAGAGTGAAAATTTTTTAAAGTCTGTGTGTGTCTATTTCAGCTCTGAGTGGTTTTATCCCTCCCCTTTGCTAAAAGCAGAGAGATCCATGATAACAAATACCTTCTGGCACCATAACAAAGCTTATTTTCTCAGCAGAGAAGGGAATGCCATGAGTACATGCTGTATCAGTGTATAAAAGGTGTGTTTGCCAGTGATGTTGGATATGAATCTGGCACCAATAGGTCTCAACCAGACAGAAAATTAGCACTTGTCTAAATTGTGGAACAAGGGTTTACTAGTAAACTTGAATTCTAGCTTTGTAAAGTGGCTGTACCTCATAAAGCCCAAGGAAATAATAGATCCTCACTTGGTCTATGGGCTTCTGAGGTATTTTCAGGTATTCCAGGGAATGAGTTTTATATTTTGTCCTCATGTACTGGATTGCTATCCAGAGTGGGTGCATTCAGGTGTTTAGGAATGCCTGCCCTTGGGTTGATGCCTAGTGTGTTAAGAGTCACAAAATGCCAGTAGAGAGGCATTTTAATATCTTGCAATTATCTAGGCTAGATATTTATTTTTTTACTGCCCAGCTGAAAGAACAGAAAAATACTGACTAAGTTTTACCAGAAGAATAATCAGACATCCAGCAGTAAACATCAGTGTGGGCCAGAGGAAAGCACAGAGGAGACCTCCTGGGGGATAAAGTCTGTTTACAATGACATTGGTCTGTGTTCCTCCTGGGTCATAATAACAGCGGAAGGTCTGTTTGTTTCTGAAAATGGATGCAATAAGTTCTACTTGTGCTTTAACTTCTTTGGAGTACTCTGGTTTGTCTGGGACATAGGAGCACTGGAATGAGAAATCAAAGTGACGGGTTATAATGGATACTCTCATACAAAGTCTGTAGTTAAATCAGATTGAGTAAAACCACCATGCCACTATTGACCAAATCTTCCATGGTTTGGCATCCCTAGAGATTGTCTTGGCTTCCTTATGTCCACAACACATTTTACTTTGGAGTACTCTGGTTTGTCTGGGACATAGGAGCACTGGAATGAGAAATCAAAGTGACGGGTTATAATGGATACTCTCATACAAAGTCTGTAGTTAAATCAGATTGAGTAAAACCACCATGCCACTATTGACCAAATCTTCCATGGTTTGGCATCCCTAGAGATTGTCTTGGCTTCCTTATGTCCACAACACATTTTACACCTTAGAGATCATCCAGACCCAACCCCCTGCCCTGGGCAGGGACACCTCAGAGCAGGTGCCAACCTGGCTGGGTTGGGGCAGCCACAGCCTCCCTGGGCAGCCTGGGACAGTGTCTCACCACCCTCACAGGGAAAACCTCTGCCTAAGATCTAATCTAAATTTCCTTCTTTCAATTTCTCCCCATTCCTCCTTGTCCTGTCCCTGTAGTTCCTAGCAAAGGAAGAGTTCCTAACAAAGAAACATTTGCCATGCTTCCCTGTTTCTGTCAGTGTGTCTGTGCCCCCAGTCTGCAGATTTACAGATTGGAGTAATACTGTTGGAAACCAATAACATTTGTGCTGAAAAAAAACCCTGCAGTCTTTGAGACTGTCACTTCACTATGACAGTGCCAAGCTCCAATTCCCAGCAGAGCTTCTAGGCATTGCCACACCAGGAATATGTTAGTTGTGCAGAAGTTCACACTGGCTTGTTGGTGTGCAGGAGAATGGAGTTGTTTCACTATGTGGCTCTAACTAGGAGAAAAATACAGCAACCCTGGTTCTTGGAGGTTTCCTACTTGGCCTTGTAACACAGAACTATTTTGACCTGTAGTAACAATGCAGAGTTAGTCAGTCTTCAGTGGGAATGCTGTTAGACTTTGAAGCACTAATTTATTTCTTTTGTTGTTCTTAACCTTTATTTCTGTAATATTATATTGCATATATAATAATGTTTATGTGTATTAAACTGGAAACTGGCCAAGGCAGAGGTGGGGATTGTTCCTGATCTGAAAGCTTGTCCTTGCAGTAATGCAAATAGGTAGGAAATCAACCTCCTCTTGCAGTGAACAAGACTCTTGTTCCCACCTACAGTGGATAATTTCTGCTTTGCTGCTTCATTGCCTGTAGCTTTCTCTGAGATAGTAGCTATAAAGATAGGCATTAGCTAGAAAAATTCTCTTCAGCTAAAGTGCTGAAGGATTGCATTGTGTGAATGCTCTTAGGCTTGCACTGTGTGAAGCTCTTATCTGTGTAAATTGGACGGTAGGGTGGGACTTGATGGCCTCAGAGGTCTCCTCCAACCTTGATGATTCTATGATTCTACATTCTTTAAGAAGATGAGCACTTGTAGTCAGAGCATATTTGTTCTGCATTCTGAAAGCACTTCAGGCTTGGGCTTCCAAGATCTAAATTTTACTTTCTCCCCGTTCGAGAGTTGAGCTGGATTAAGGCCTCTGAAATACTTGTGAGCTTGGAACTAGGCTGAACCTGACCTACCTCGGGGCAGGGGGGACCTGCAGGAGCACTTCTGCTTTTGGAGAAACAGGCCTAAAAATGCTGAGCTCTCTGCTGATTCCCAAGCAGCAGCACTGGCAGGAGCAAAAGGCTAACACCCTTCACTTTTCCCTTCCCTAATCTTTCACAGACTTCTAAAGCCAAGTGAATGTTGTGCACCCACATTTCTGTCCCACCCATGGGCTGCACTCTTCCTCTGCCAGGCCAAGGGGCCTCTGCCACAACACCAGCACCTCTGCCCTGCACAGGTGCTTCCTGCAGTGCCACTGAGTGCAGGTTTCTGCCACACCAGCCAGAAATTACTGCAGATCAAACTGAAGACAAATGAGTTTTCCATGTCTTCCAAAATCACTGATTTCTTACTTCTTTTTGTCTAAAATGTGCATCATGTTGCCAACAGACCCTCATTTCCCCTTTCACTGCTTTCTTTACTCCCTACTTCATATCATACACTGAAAATGCAAGTAAAATTGGGATTTGTGCTCTTACTTTGGATGGTTTTTAACTTCAGGGCTCTTATGTGAGAATTCAACATGAACCATAGCTTATAAACTATTTGTTCCAATTGGCCTTCAACTTGGAGACTTGAATATTTTAAAATGTTCATAAATGTTATGTATTCATGCTGGAGTAATTCCTTAAGTATTAACTTTATGTTTGATGTAATGTTTAAAATAAAATCCAAAACTATGTCATTTCTGGAATGTTTTAAAAAAAATGCTTTGGTCTAAGTCCAGGCATTAACTTGTGATGAACAACTGCTCTTACTGTGCTGCTAGGTTTAAAAACCATCACCCCTTCTCCTCAGAGGTGTTACCTAGTACCAGAGAGTGAGCATGTAATCTGTGTTGCAAGTACCTTAGCATTTCTGCTCAGCGTATCTTCGTTATCGTACAGCATCACCTCTTGTCCTGAGGCTGTCAGATTAACCCACACCTGGAGACAGGGGTAAGGGAAGCTGTCCCCATCCTCTGAGTCTTCACTGCTTGGGCAGAGAGCTCTGTCCTTAATGTTGACTTTGAGTAGCTTGCACACAGCTTCTGTTGTCCAAACACTACAGAAACAAAACAAAAATGTTTTCCCTGTTAGGGTGTTCAGGCACTGGAATATTGCTCAGGGAGGTGGTGGAGTCACCAGCCCTGGAGGTGTTTAAGAGGCATTTGGATCTGACACTGGAGGATCTGGTTTAGGGGTTACAGCAGTGACAGGTTAAGGGCTGGACCCAATGATCTTAGAGGTCTCTTCCAACCTTGATGATCCCATGAGTCTAAGAAAAATTACTATGAGGTTTAACTTTTGGTGGTGTTTGGCAGTGCACTACACTTGATGCCTCAGAGATATGTTGAATGATTTCATTCAGTAGGCCTCAGAACTCAGATCAATTCCCATGTTTTTCCCCCTTCCCCTTTTCATTATTGCATGGCTCTTTTGTATGAATAAGTAGAAGGATTTTGTCTGGCAAAAGTTAATTTTATGCTGTTGCTTATCCCTTTTTCTCAAGACTTACTCATCTGTTATTGATAACACAGTAAACTTTTGCTCAAAACCATACACAAGTTAAACACTAGTCTCACTCCAGTTCTTATGAAACAAATCTTTTTACATGCATCTGTCTGCTGTAACATAATCTGGAGGCTTCAAAATACTGTTTTAAAGAGAATGTTTCTCAAACAGTTCTGGGATGAGAGATGCTCAAGGAAGAAGAATGAGGTGCATATTCTTGCTTTCTCTATCAAAATCTTCAGGTATGAACAAGTGAGCTGCACTCTGTGTCTTGTTACTTTGATTTTTTGCAAATTGATTTTGTCTGTGGAGGCAGAACCTGCAAAATGAAATTAAAGTGTGGGTAATAGTAACTCCTTCAGCATTCATTGTATTCTTCAACACTGGTGACCTCCTGGTTCTCTCCAGCTCCCTGACAGGGCTTGGAGAGAGGTGGGGGATGTCTCTCCTGCCATGGCTGCAGGGAGAGGATTAGAGGGAATGGCCTTGAGCTGAGACAGGGCAGAGTCAGAGGAGATACTTGGAGAAATTTCTTTACTGTTTGCACTGGAATATTGCCCAGGGAGGAGGTGAAGTCACCATCCCTGGAGGTGTTTAAGAGGCATCTGGGTCTGACACTGAAGGATCTGGTTTAGGGGTTACAGCAGTGACAGGTTAAGGGTTGGACTCGATGATCTTAGAGGTCTCTTCCAACCTTGATGATTCCATGATTTGCTGTGGCACACTGGGTTGTTGAAGGTGCTAATTCCTTTTTATGGTTGATTTGGAAGTAAGATATAGATTCTCCAGTGAACAATTTTACCATGACTTCTGTTGCTCTAGGTTTAATAGCTTGATTAAACACAATACTCTCCTGCACATGGAAAAGCTTTTTAAAACTGTTTTTATTTATGCAAGACTTGGCTTTCCATTGTTAACCTCTGATAAGCATGGGGTTTTTTTTTTGACTGTACATGTTTCCTCAGTAAATGTTTTGGTTTACTCTTGTTTAGCCCTGAGGAAAATCATTTCCCTTTTCTTGTGCTTACTTGGAAGTGCTGATTACTTCTTGGCTCTCTTCTTCTGTCTCACATCCTTATGGGCTCTTTGAGAGCACATTGCTTATGTATTGTACAATGTAAAAACATATCTATTTTATCACTGTTTTAATAATTGTATTTGATATTGACAAGAAAAAAAATAGCTTTGTTTCATAAACATAAATGGCTGTTATTACCTCTTATTGTAAGTTGGCACCATGGTGACCGCAATAAAGAAGTATATCATCATGGAGCATGCCACCATTCCCAGCCCCAGGCACATGGCTCTGGTCTCCCCTCGCTTCTGTGCAGTCACCAACTTCTTCCCCAACATGGTTTAGAGTTGTGAAACTTGGACAAACTCTTTTGGGTATAAAATAAAATAAGAAAGGAGAGGGAAAACATGACAGTTAGTGCAGCTGTGTGACACGTTTCTGTATTCCACGGAGGAGCAGATACATTTGTAGAAAAAATAGAATGAAAAGAAAGAAGTTACTGTGTTATGTGTCATCACTTGACTCCATTTTTCTTTCTTAATTTAGCATATAGTACTTTAACAAGTGCATGTGTGTGTAAGCTAGAAAAGCCTTATAACTTTTGGGGAGAGTTCTGTCAACAGTTCAATTGTACTCAGTCACAATTCAGCCTGTTTTATGCTACTGCTTCTCTGAAGTAATAGATATTGTATCATAGTATGTGAAGGGGTTGGAATGTCACTTAGAGATGATCCAGCCCCAACCCCCTGCCCTGGGCAGGGACACCTCCCACCAGAGCAGGTTGCTCAAGGCTTTAGCCAACCTGGCTGTGAACACTGCCAGGGTTGGGGCAGCCACAGCCTTCCTGGGCAACCTGGGCCACTGTCTCACCACACTCACAGGGAAAAAACTTCTGTCTGATATCTCACCTAAATTTTCCTCTTTCAATTTCTCCCCATTGCTCTTTGTCCTGACACTGCTGTTCCTAAATAATTATGAGTGATGTACAGGATTGAATTATAAACGGGCTAACTGTTGAGTGTTTATCCTTCCTGGCTGGCCTTCAGGATGGTGTGGTTCCTGACTAAATCCACCTGTGTTGAGACTAAAGTAAGACAAGCACAAACCAAAGCTAGAAAATAGGCCTGTCAGGTTATCTTCTCTGCAGAGAGGGACCTGGGGGTCCTGATGGACAACAAGCTGTCCATGAGGTAACAGTGTGCCCTTGGGCTAAGAAGGCAAATGGGATCCTGGGGGGCAATGGGAATAGCATCACCAGCAGCTCAGGGAGGTGATCCTGCTCAGCTCTGGTGAGGCACAGCTGGAGTGCTGTGTCCAGTTCTGGGCTCCTCAGGACAAGAGGGACATGAAGCTCCTGCAGCAGGTCCAGGGGAGCACAACAAGGATGACTGAGGGCCTGGAGCATATCACTGATGAGGAAAGGCTGAGGGAGTTGGGGCTGTTCAGACTTGAGAAGAGACAACTCAGAGGGACCTCATTAATGTATACAAGTATCTAAAGCAGGTGTCAAGGAGATGAATCAGACTCTGCCCATTGGTGCAAACCAATAAAGCAAGAGGTAACAGTGAAAACTGATGCCCGGGAAGTTCCACCTGAACACGAGGAAGAACTTCTTTCCTGTGCTGTCACTGAGCACTGAACAGATTGCCCAGAGAGGTTGTGGATTCTTCCTCACTGGAGGTATTCAAGAACCATCTGGACACAATCCTGAGTCATGTGCTCTGGGATGGCCCTGCTTGAGCAGGGAGGTGGGACCAGATGACACACTGGTCCCTTCCAACCTGACTGATTCTGTGATTCTGTAAGGGGCTGGTTACCAGCTGCTCCAGGCTAGCAGAGCTGTGGTGTCACTGGTAGGACCAGGCTCAATTGGGTGAAAGATGAGATAGCTTTCAAAGCTGTCAGCTTCAGCTCCTTAAAGGAATGGACAGGAATATAATCTGAATGTTGCTTTCTTTGCTATTTGTTCTGTTTTTCACTGGTAAAGTGATCCACTTTGGTTGTTTAATGATCAAAGGAAAAAATATTTGAACAATGACGTGTTACTGTTTTGAGACTGCTAAAACGTCTGAATGTTAGTGCTCTTAGCAATAAAAATATAGACATCTGGGGACAGTAAACCAACTTTGGTCGTTTAGCATAACTTGGGGCTAGTTACAGAATGTAAGTAAATATTTTCAGGTTGCTAGTACATGGCATCAAAGTGAAAGGCTGTTCTTAGGTGTCCCTAGAAACTAAAGGAGTTATTGTTAAATACTGAATTTAGTCCGGTTCCATATTTAATTGCACTTCAAATGAGTATCAACATCCATTGTGAATTTTGCATAGAGCATTTGGAGGGGGATTGTTTTTCTGATGATCATATATAATTCACTGGCATGGTAAGAAGCATCTCAACTTGAAAATTACCATGACATGAACCTTCCCTGTTTCCTGGCATTGAGTTAAATGCAGAATGTGAGCTAATGCCCTTAAGTAAGGCTGTATTGTGTTTTGGTTGGGCTATAAATAGAGTACGTGTCATCACATTCTGCCAGCACACTCATGCTGCACCTGCATACTCAGGTATAGACATGCAGAGAGGGATGTGAGCAAGGAAACTTGCATGGGAAATATCAGGAGCCACTGTGCCTTGTAAACTTCTGATAGATTGGTGGGTGGAAAATTGGAAATAACTCTGACAAATCCCAAAGAATTCCCAAATATTTAGAATATTGGAGCACTGCGCAACTTAAGACCATTAAGGTCTTAAGACCAACTGATATTAAACTGACTCTCCTTTACCTATTGTGCAGCTTGGTCAGAGAGAAAAGTGCAATAAAGGAACATCATTGGTCCACATGGTACTGAAGCAGCAGGTCTTTATGGCATAGTGGGAAGTTGATAAAACCTTAGTATGTGAAGGGGTTGGAATGTCACTTAGAGATGATACAGCCTCAACCCCTGCCCTGGGCAGAGTCACCTCCCACCAGAGCAGGTTGCTCAAGGCTTTAGCCAACCTGGCTGTGAACACTGCCAGGGTTGGGGCAGCCATAGCCTCCCTGGGAAATCGGTGCCAGTGTCTCACCACCCTCACAGTGAAAACTTCTTAACCAAGTTAATGATAGATGAGTGAAAACCTGCCTTGTTAGCAAGAAATTCAGTAACAATGATTAATATGTTCTGTGAGAAACTGAGAAGACACAAAACTGGTACTACCAACCTGACTTGTTGAAAACCTCTAGTGGCCTAGTGCTGTTCATGTGTTGAGTTTTAGATGAACCATAATGTTACCAGAGCTGTCTCAGTTACACTGAGAAATGGTGGGGGAATCACTCCCTTGGTACATGGAAAACAAGAACTGTGGGACTGTTGGCCACAGAATTAATAAGAAATGTAATTGCTCCAACAGCCTGCTTGGATGTCAGCCACACATGCAGCAGAATTGCCACTGAGCTCTTTCTGCTACCAGTCTGCTACTGCCAGACTACCTCTTCAAGACACAAAAGCAATTTGTATGTGTAAACTGGAAATTTATCTCAAGTGGCCAAGAGATTTTCCCAGCATTAAATGCAGTGTTGTTGCCCATCCTGACACCAGCCAGTCTACCTGACCCTGGTTCTCTTCATGGGCTGCTCAGGGATGCTCTTTGCTTCTGCTGCCCCAGTTCAGGTATGTGCTCCACCCCAAAGAGCATAAGGACATATAAATTATGCAGGGAATGCTAACAAGAAAGGTTCATCTAAAAATATTTCACTGAGTGCTTCTATGAATATAGAAAATAACCAGCCAGGTCTTCAGGCAGTGTAAGTTGGGGGTGCTCACATCTGTCTTGTGTTGCTGCACCAGATTAGCTGTAAATGTGCTCCCTGAAACTGAATTACACACATCCTGGGGCATTTCTTTTTGCTTTCAAACATAGAAACCCAGAAAAATCTGTAACACTCTTTAATGCTAATGCAGAATAATTTAAGGGGAAACCCAAGACAGCAAAGGAAACCCATTTTTTTTCCTTTCATATATAAATATTCATAATACAGAAATATAATCTAAAATATAAACTTTTCCCCTTTCATATATAAATATTTCATATCTAAATGTTCTGCTGCAAATCCTTCTTTCTCTGGCTCTCAAGATAAAGTGCTGTTGCATGCGTCTAGAAAAATGTATTTATGTAGAATTTCTTCATTGTTTAAAAGGTTAATTATTTCAGATTAAAATTCTTCTTTTCTGTCTCCTAGCTCTGTCTATGCATATTAGAAACGGTGTTGAAAGAGCTAATTTAGTGTTTCCTCTGACAAAATCCTTCTCTTTAGAAATGAATCACTGCAGAAGACTCGATTGGCCCAGGAAGGCTGAGCTGAGTGGAACTGAGAGACATTGAAGTGTACAAAGTGGGTTTAGCACAGCCTTCAAGAGAGAACTTCAATGTATTTTTGTACAGAAGATTCTGTGGGGTGTCTCCATACTTATTAGGGAAAAGCTGCAAATGTTTTCATAATGTTCCCTCTCCCTAATCTTCTTCAATCTAGTTAAATTATACAGTACATTAGCTGTGCAATTTCAATGTATAATCACTGCATTGACAGCTGCTGGTGCTAATCCTAGGGCTGCCATCTGCCCAGGTTTGGAACAGGCCCCTGTTTTGATTAGGGACATGTTTGATACTTGGCAGGAAATCTCTGTCTCCTCCTCCTCCATCTTTTGAGGAGTTCCCAATGGTGTGACCTCCCTGAGTTGGGATGGGACCTCTCTCCTGAGCTAGCCCAGGCTGCTCTTAGCCTGGGTAAGGTCTGAGTAGCACTGATGAATTCATCTCAGTTGCTTGCAGAAGAAAGGCTGCTAAACCCTTCTTGAACTGAAGTATTAACAGGAAGCTAGTCTTTTTTTTTTTTTAGTTTGCTTATCCCACACTGTAAGGTGAATTTTCCATGGGCATGTACATATTGCTTTCAGATGAACATCAGGCTGCAATACAGCATCATGCTGAGCAGAGTGATGCCAGTCATCCACATCTCTAAAATTATGAGGACTTTTTAGGCCCTTTGGCCTCTACTGTCTCTAGAAACAAAATCTCCATTTCTTCAAAGTGCCAACTTAATAGTCAGCTTGTTTTATTCTTAAAACACCTTGTATGGACAGCATAAAACTTTCTGGCTTTGTAAGAGGAGCATAGTATTGGTGAGAATCGATTGGCCAAGTGCTTTGTGTGGGAGCCAGAAGGCAATTTTGATTTTAGATCTATAAATACAAGCTCTGTACTGGTTCCTTTATTGGGACTGAGCTCATATTTACGCATTTACTGCTGTCTCTGAGTAGTTTGATCACTAACACTTGCCTATCTGTGTTTCCATGAGTA